ATGGATGCACTGCCCCCTTACACGCATGTTGCTGAAGGTGACCATTTAGGGTTTGCTGAAATCTGATGTGTTAGGTCAAAAGGTATAGCTACTGCAGCCTAGTTGCTGAAATCATATGAGTCGGACTGAAAGGTATAGTTACTGCAGCCTAGTTGACATCTGATGTTTTGGGCCAAAAGGTATAGTTACTGCAGCCTAGTTGCTGAAATCTGATGTGTTGGGCTGAAAGTAAGGTATAGTTACTGCAGCCTAGTTGCTAAAATCCGATGTGTTGGGCCGAAAGATAGTTATTGCAGCCTAGTTGCTAAAATCCGATGTGTTGGGCTGAGAATAAGGTATAGTTACTGCAGCATTGTTGCTGGGTCAAAAGGTAGAGTTACTCCAGCCTAGTTGCAAACCAAAACAGTGTTCCAACCGCCCTTTTAGGGACTAATGCAAGAAATTGAGACAACACCAGATACACACATCTCAAATACAAAAACCTCACAAATGATGAAAGTCAAAAACCAGTAATAATTATTATCTAGAATCACTCTATGAATTAGAGCAGAGTGGCTAGCTTCTCTGGAAAGGTCACGGGTGGTGAGCATACTTTGGATTTTTTCTCCAGGCAATGCCGGCGTGGTGGGTAATGAAAAGGCAGACATTTTGGCTGGATCCGCACCACTGGGTGGTGACTTGATACATGACAAGGCAGATGTGTTCAAGGCCCTTTGGAAACAAGCAACGGAATCAGTAGAGAAAGAAGATTATTATGGCCTGGAGAGAAAGAGGCACCTGGGTGAAACCAGAGGGTCTGGCCTGCTCACTACACTCAGAGGAAAGGCAAGACAACCTTTTAACCAGATTGTGACCGGTACCATCAGTATTGGAACTCTGCGCTGGCTGCTGAAGATCAAAATGGAGCATGCATGTGAATGCCTTGAGTGCTGTGATGTCAATTCTTGACTCAACTCAACTCAAGTTCATGTAAATATGCCTCTATAAAACATATACACTAAAATGTTAAAAACTGTTATCAAACTTGGTACTATGAGCAGATCAGAAAAAAAACCTGAAGTCTGAGGGATCTACTAGAATATTAATCTTACTTAATACAGCCACAGAGAGGGAACTGAGGGGCTAAAAACAGCAATGCAATATATTCAGCAAAAATTTCTAAAACCAACACTGGAGGTGGACACCCTCCCCCCCCCCCCTTTTTTTTCACAAAAAATTTATTTTGCACCTTGGTTTATGGTTTATACATACATACATACATATATATATATATATATATATATATATATATATATATATATATATATATATATATATATATATATATATATATGTATGTATGTATAAACCATAAACCAAGGTGCAAAATAAATTTTTTGTGAAAAAAGGGGGGGGGGGGGGGGGAGGGTGTCCACCTCCAGTGTTGGTTTTAGAAATATATATATATATGGTTTATTTATTTTGCACCTTAAAGCACAGAGATCTCTTCCTTCCCTGATGCCGTGAAGCATTCTCCAAGATTACAGAAAAGAATAAGAAGAAGAACATAGAAAAATATCAACAAAGATTCCCTTATAGGTATCACAGACAGGTTGACTCTCATTCTTTGTAAGATTCTTAACATGCCTTTTGATAAATCATATTGAATACAAGTGTGGGAAATTCAGTACGAAACTGGTAACAATGATGAGGAAACAGGATGGTAAATCATTATGCAACAATCTTCCTCTCCTTCTTAGCTTTTACGAGCTGTAAACTCTGCCAGAAAATTCTGGCTGTTCTTCCAATCTGGTTTATTTGTATGCAGACTCTTGTTTCATTGCATCTCTGACAGATGTACTATTACTTTGAAGGAAGTACCCCTAATAAGTCAACTTGTACGGCATGCTTGTTAGGGTGCGGTAGATCTATTCACCCCCCCCCCCCCCCCCCCCCCCCTACAATTGGGTCCCAGAACCCATACAGGAATTAACACCAACAATTAACTTTAACACTTTCTGACTTTGACAGTTCCTCTTAACTCTTTTGATACCAAGAAACTCACCATAAGTTTCTAGGATATTCCAAGGATGACATAATATTCCTGTTGTTATCTATTACATATTACATTAACCCTTTTTTATCTAAGTTAATAGTTTAAAACGTTGGTGGCTCATGCATTGCGAACACATTTTGTAATGAGGAGTGCTAAGTTTGATCCCAAGTGCAGGCAATTAGGCAACAGATCATCTTTTGCTGGTTTCGACAGCCGATCATTCCGTATCAATGGCAAACTACATGACATAAAATTTGTCTAGAAAAACCAAAACATCCAAAACAAAATGCTATGGTTGGTTCTGTAACATCCTATAAGGAATAGACAACTAACTTTATTAGTTTAAAAACTTTTGTCCCACAGTGTCTCATTCATCAAACTCTTTATTCAGTCGGGGCCCAAAAACAAAATAAGATAAATGAATAAAACAAAAATAAGAAGAATCCTGAACAAAAGCCCTGGAATAAGGAAGCAACATGGAGACAGCTTTCCTTTCGCTGAGTTGTTACCCAGTCACAATTTATTCTCAGTGAATTAATTTCTTCATATTAGACTGCCAGAATAACCAACACTGATTGCCTGGAAATGGCTAATAAAAGTAGAACATTATATACAACAATGAGGAGACAAAGTTATTTCTTCATGTAATTAGAAAATGAGCACTGGAAAATATTGTGACAACTAGAAAGATCTCTCACAGAAGAGGTAGACCAAAAGAAATTATGGTGGATAGCTTGAGACAGTAGCATGGATGAATATTATCAGTCGAATTGATCCAGAACACCAAAGACCGAGATTTGTGGCGATGCATGAACGTTTACGCCAGCTGGCAAGGCACTTGATGATGATGATGATATCAGTTTGACTGCCGTCACTCCTATTTTCAGCACACTTGTGAGGTTATTCTGAGTGCAGTAACATCAATTCTTAATGATACAATTTTTTAACCCTTTCATCCCGAGAACAAGTGACATTTATGTTTGGGTCCAATTTCCCATAAATGCCCCTTTTATAGCTTGCGTGTAGTGACCTGATAACGACATCCATAGTTAATGATTTTAGCTGAGTTTGTCCCTGCACAAACATTTAGGTCAGGATTTAAATACATTAACTAACAATAGCATTTTGGAGGAAGTTATTCATTGAGACAAATGTTTTTTTTAAATAGTGTTTTTAGGTTTATTCCATTTAATGACCCCCCCCCCCCCACCCCCAATCCCCCTCCGGTGTTTACTGATTATTCCTTTCATACATCTCAGAAAAAAAATTTACAAATGTGGGGAAAAAAATACATTTTAACAAATTTATTATTGTTGTTTATACCAATATTTCTGGGATTTTAATGGGGCCAGGACCTTTTTTTTTTAGTGATACAAGGGCGAAATAGCTCAGATATATGTGATCGAAACATATTTCAATACATATTTAAGCATTTCTGATGTGTTGAAAAGCCATTAAAAACCAATTTAAAAATAATCAAACAGATTTACTGTTGTACATGTAATTTCTCATACAATTTATCACTGTCATTCAAAGCTGACTCTAACCAATTTGGCCACAATACAACAATAAGCAAGAGTAACACAAAATGCAATTAAAGATTTAAAAAAAAAAAAGGCTCAGTAAAAAAAAACATTTATGTAACTATTTCTGTATGCAAACACATAATCTATGCACTCACTTGAAGTGAGTAGAGAGTATGGACGATTTGTGAAATGCAAAGGAAAAAGACAGGAGGATTTTTAAATCACGTTATAGCTGGCACCATCCATACAGGAACTCTTCATTGGCTACTGAGTAAGGAGACGAAGAATGTGTGGGAATGTCATGATGCCAAAACTTGATTCATTCTGTAAATATCTGCTCGGAAATGAGCACCTGCCAAATCTTATATCAAGATACTGACTCAATATCGCAAACATAAAAAGTTAGTTGTGCATCTTTTATTTCATTTAGGCTAACCATTTTCAAAATTCTGGCCTGAGCAAAGTAAGCTGCTTTACATGATGTTACATGCAGCTGGCATCGAGCTGGGGATTTCAGAATTATGAAGCATGTTCACAATGCCTAAAATACAGACACCAACAATATCCCACAAATGTGGATTGTTTCACTTCACAATAAACAATGGAATGTGAGACAAATATAGGAACCATCTGTACACTTCAACACAAAAACAAAATTCCCAATTTATAACCTAATTAATGCATACCTTTTGTGTCTATACAACAGAGATAACTTTAAATGTATCAAAAATGGACTGCTCAGACAATTTTTACATCCAAATAAAAATATTTATTTTAGAAAAACTGAGAAGGAAACCTCCTCCGCTGGATTGCTTCACTTCTGAATGACACAATAGAGAATATGCACTGAAATATAGAATAAGAAGCAGTATTTTCTGCAGAATAGCAGGACAGACACAAAACAGTGATAAGCACAAAATGTATAACTTTAAAACTTCATTTAAAAATACAGCAAAATACTTCAGATGTTTAGACATGAAACAAAAAGGGTGTATGAATAAATGGACACAGAGAGAGAGAGAGAGAGAGAGAGAGAGAGAGAGAGAGAGAGAGAGAGAGAGAGAGATGGAGAGGGAGAGAGGGAGGGGGGGGGAGAGAGAGAGGGAGGGGGGGAGAGAGAGAGAGAGAGGGTGCAATGGACAAGAAGTACTAAGAAATATGACACCAGAATGTGAATTTCACAAATGTTTTCATTCCGCTCACCGGATTTAGCAGGTAAATCTGGCTTTTAAAAACAATTCATGCTGAACAAATCTAGGACCTACCAAACCATTCTGCTTAAAAATACACCAACAAATGTTCATTAAACTGCATAAAGAAAAAAATCAATTTAAAGCACAAATTCTGGCATGAATAACCAGTAACAAAGGCACACTTGTGAACTGTCTAAATAATTGATGAAAAAATGAATCAGCTGTAACAGCCTTCCTGGCTCAGTGTCATAGGGAACTGATGTCATAATTCAGGTGTAGAATATCCTACAATGAGACACACACAAAAATACATTCAGGTATTGAATTTTTAAATGATGTTCACACACAGTAAATGACTATCCGATTAAATGAAATGCTCAGTCAAATGGGTAAGATCCACTGAAGGACAGATGGTGGTAGAGTACCTAGGGACATCCTATAGAGAAAACTACAGATGGATAAAAGACTTAGGGTGAGCTTAAAGATGTGTGCAAGCAGGACATGAATGATACATGTATTGAACTGGAATAATAGGAACAGGATGTCATGGATCTTGGTGCACTGAAAGAAAACAATCAGGAGAGGAAAAGGGATAAAGAAGAAAATTATAGCAGAAAAGAGCTAACTGTTTGAAAAGAAATACATCAACAGGTTATGGCAACATTGGCCCTGAAATTCTTTGCACTTATTGCAGAATACTTTTATGATTTGCTCTTGCTAGTCACACTCACCAAGCTGTTATTCCCACATCTACCTAAACCACAACCTAAAAATAATATCTAGAAAGAAGGAAAGGTGCCAAAACTTTAAAAAATTTTTTAACAAATTAGAAGCTTATGAGAAACACAAATAACCCATATAAATATCACCATGCTTGTATCCACATCACTTACCTACATTTGGGGCCATGTTAAATTCTTATTAGTTGGACTTCTTTGAGAGCCAAGTATACTTCTACTCTTTGTTCTAAATATGGGATCTTTTGCCCTACACCCTCCAAATACTTTTGTTATCCGCACATTTCTTTATTTCCAGATGACAGTTTAATATTGTGCTTAAGGAATGCGTGGGGATCACAGTCCATGATGTTGGCGAGTGTGACTAGCAAGACATATTATTATTCCAAGACCGATTAAGTCCAGGGATGAAGTTTGGCCTTTCTACAGCACAAACTCTGGGCAGTATTGCGGAGGCCATCTGTTGTCAATTCAGCTTAATCCCTCGCTCTGCCTTGTTTACTCTAAAGACAAGGTAACACCAATTTGTTTGGAACAAAGTATGCTACAGAAGCTGCTAGATCAGCCAAACAGTGCTCTGTATGTCCACCTGTCAGAGCTTTCCAGCTGCCAATTAAGACTAAGAGCTTGGCCTACCGTACCATAACCTAACACCCCAAATACTTGGGGCCACTTACATCTTGAAAGAGAAGCTTACCGCCCTTATTTACCTTGATAACTTTTACCATCTCACTTAATGGGTAGTTCATAAAGTCCACAATCAATGTTATTTAATAGTTGAAATATTATTGTCACTCACGACAGGTAATCTAAATCTAAGCCATCTGATGTTGTAAATCGATAGTATTTTCATGTATTCAGTGTATTCTTACCTTGTCATGACTGTACAAATCTTTGACAGCTTTTAGTGTATGACTGTTATTAAGGTAGACAAAGCCGGACTGACAAGGGCAATAAACATCAACCTTTGCAATGCAGAATGATATAATTAATTAACACTGCATTTTGTAACATCACACATAAATAAACTGTGGTAACATAATCACCAGACACTTGTCTGCTTGCCCAAAAGTCTTAAATCAGTATCTGCATCGTTTCAGATTTTTTTTTCAAAATGACTTTCACTACCAGGTCGACCCAACCAGCCTAAAATAGGTTTAAGTAATGTTCTAGAACAGCCCCTATAGGTCACTACACTTTTTTCGTCGAAGGACCCTGTCATATGGGGCGCCAAAGAACATAGCAAAAACACATATTCATTGAAGTTATAAAGTAGCGACAAACATCATTGTATGGTTGGGGGTCGCCACTACATGAGGAATTGTATTAAAGGTGTATTAGGAAGGTTGAGAACAACTGTTCTACAACATAAAGGTATCCAGCAAGATAATGACCAATTTATTCACTAAGTGCAGACTGGTCTTTAAAAAAACAAATCAGCCTAGCATTATATGCACAAAGCACCACTGACGTAAAAAGAGTACTTTACTGACTTACTTTACTTCTTCTCTTTCTTCTTCTTCAGCGTAACGAGCCCTTGAGGTTCATTGCTGCAGATATCACCCGCCTCCATTCACCTCTCTGGTTGGTCTTCTCTTTCCAGTTGGTGACACCAAGTGTTTGCAGTCTGTCTGGACATTATATCTCTATAATTTTATTGGTCTGCCTTGTGGTCTACGACCATTCATCTCCCTCGTGTAAACAGTTTTTACTTCTCTGTCATCTGATATTCTTTCAATATGCCCCAACCATTTCAGTCTATTAGCTCTCATGGTGCCAGTCATGACTTACTTTACTTATATAAATACATTACAAACATTTAGAGAAATTAGGAATATAATGAAAACCAGAATGCATTAAACTTAGAGCAAAACCGATGCACTGAAAATATCAACAACAGGAATGTACATCCTCTTACTGCTTCAATAGGATGTGTGATCCTAGTATATCTAGTAGGATCATCCACAGTGCTCTGGAGGTCATAAACCGAGTCCTCCTAGCTATGTAACTTCAAATACATTTTTGTAATGGTGGTAAGCTGTATTATTTTTTAGTCTTAGAAATGTGGTTCAAAATCACTAATTACTGGCATCACAGACACAACACAAACACATGGACATAACAAATACAGGTTAGTTTGGCATTAGTCTCCCCAAACAGAGTAGGTCACTTTTCATTCACAAGTTTTTTGGTCTGGTCGATTTTCATGGCGGTTATGGGTGTGTCCCGCTCTGTTGTTTGGTTTCTGCGATGTCTTGCATTTACGTTTTCATTCAGAGTAAGACAATGCTTGCAACATAGGTTGCAGCATTTTCTAGGGGAGTTGTGTTAGACCCAGTTTCTCCATGTTTTTGGAGTGTTAAAAGCACTGGTGTGCTGAAATACACTACACTGCGGAACACCCCCGTAACCTTGTGCGAAGGTCACGGGGCTCAGGCATAACATGTTCATGGGAATGAGATAATCTCAGAAAAGTGTCCTCACCTTGTGATTATCATCAATGTGTAACTTTCTCTGAAGGAATGTTGCAAGACTGCGAATGGTTGCACGACCTGTAACTCTAACAAACTGTTTCTCCTGTCAGGAGGTAGAAAAATATAACACTGTAGTTACTAGCATTATCCCACCTTTCCAGATGACACTATTATACTGGGCTATAGGGAGGCATGGAAATAATATGCCCTGGTGGTGGTGAGTGTGACTATTAAAGGTAAAGGTGAGAGGATTAACTTCACTGCAAGGGGTTTTATCTCATATGGCTCAGTCTCTCTCTGCAGAACAGCTAGCTGCCTGCCCAGAGCATCACATATGCAGCACAACCTCCGTAGCTCTGGTGACGATCCCCAGGGATCGCCACAACAACTGCACCAGTGAAATGGCAGAGGCAAACAGCCTGAAAACTTTACCACTGAAGACCCCCAGTGTAATTAGTAAGGCCCGCCCACCTGGGTTAAGAAAAGTCTTCCATAATTAATAACAACACTGCAAGTAGGTTACTAAAAGACCATTTTCACACCAGTGGCCTATCGGGCAATGGATGTTACGACTCATGTTTTTTTAGACCAATGAAGATTCATTGGATGATGTGCTCAACATCACGCGAGTCACGTATATTTCCCAGGATAAAACTGTGAGTTTAAAGTAGCTGACATTCACACACAGTGTTTCTTCTTTTCACTAGACCCTGTTCTGTCTTACAGCATCAGGTTTTGATGAGGTAACTGGTGCTGTCTTGATGCTGGTACTGACACCTTTAGATATTCCTTTATCTATTACCTGTGTGGGCGAACTCTAGTTCTGCTTCCAGTGTGTCTAAGTGACAGGGCTTTTTATGGTGACTATCTCAAGGTAGTCCTGACACATGTCTGAACCATCTGATATGTCGTCTCTTAATGTAGTTGAGTTCCATTCAAGCTTGTTTCTTGATATTCTCATTTGTGATCCTGTCTCTCCTTGTTACATTAAGATCCATCCTAGACATTTCATTTCTGCTGTTTTGATTTTTCTTTTTCACACAAACCACATTATTAGAGGTGACTTTTTGACTGCTCTGAGAACTAACATAGCATTCTGGGCAAATCCCTCCATGTTCTGTCTTCTGTAACAAATGTTGTGTAGTGTAAATGCTGATCATTCCAGAGACAAATTTGTTTTAAACAGATCAAAACTATTCCTTCATGTCTCTCCCTCATATCTTCCCCAGTGAAACCAGACTTAAATTGCTGTTTCTGATTTATCTATTACAGTATCTTCATGTAGAATTTGTTTAGAAAATTACTTCAAACCAGATCTATTCACACAGCAACTATAGCAGAGTAAGTATACGTTTAAAGAAACATTTCCAATTACATGTTTGACTATTATGGTGTCATCTCCATAATGGAGGTTGACTGCAGCGTATCTAGCCCCATCTTTAGCCCTACCAGGCCGGTGACCTGATTTTGGGGGAATTTCTTAACCTGACGCTATACCGCTGTCCCTAATGTTCGGCAATTTGCGTACTACATGAAAAAGATGCATCACAGACTAAAAATAACTAACCAATCGTAATCAGACCTCGGGGGCAGTCTTCCTAGATGTCCGCCCGCAAGAGTTTAGATCAAATTTGTGTTGTTTGAGGTCAAAAAATTCTGAAAATTCACAATGAAACAAGGGGCTGATGAACCAAGCACTTCAACAGGAAAGTAACGTAGGTCTAGGCTTTTCACAGCTCAACAGGTGATCGATAATTTGGTTTATTCAGACTCTGCAAAGTCATAGTTTCACGAAGAATACGTTCACAGCTGAAGTGACACAGTCAGTGAGAGCTCGAATGATGAGGAGAATCTTGAAAATTATAAATCTAGAAATAGACTGATAGTAGGAGAAGGAGGCATGTCCCTCAAACAGCAACATCTGGTGTTCACTTTGTGAAACAATCCTGATCCTCCTGAGTGGATTGGCACACAAAGGTGGAATATTGGCACTAGATAAAAGGTAAGCCTATTTTCTACAATGTCTCCAAGTTTCATCTTATTCTAACCAGTTGTTTGCATGTAAATAATATTTTTACAAATCATGTTGGTTTTATCGCGTTAATGCCCAGAAGCTCAGTTATAGGGGGAAGTTAGGTTCAGGGACTCAGGTTTGGTAGGGTTAAGACTATTACATGATCAGGTCCCAGTCACTTCCACTGTGTAACTCTTGTACTGCTGTTCAAAAGTCATAAGAAGAGTCTGTGTGTTTTGATAAATAAAACCCCTTTAAAAAAAAACAAGATTAAATGTTATAAAATATAAACAGGTTTTACACTGAAAAAAAACTGAAAATTATGAGTACAAATGAAGTTATCTATTTGATTCAAAACAAATATATGCAATATGTACAATCCATTTGAGTGATCAAAAGAGTTTTTAAGAGTTAAATAACTCGAATCCTGATGTACAGAAATGAATCATGAATAGTTAGCCAATTAGTGAAAGAATATGTGGATGATGCAGAGATCTAGTTTTACAGATTAATGATGAAAAATGTATGGACAGATTTTTAAAACGTAATGATGATGTCTTGAAAGACATTAACACAATGTAGGTACAAAGGGACAGTTTTTAGGAGTAAGTGATAGAATGTGTGAGGTAAACACATAATAATTTTAGCACACAATGTATAACTAAGTAACTGACTATCAACACTTACCAAATAAAGATTTGATGCTCCTTGCCTGTAGAGGAACAGTATAAGGGAAAACAAGATTTTAAAAACACAGTTACCACAATTTCATGTGAATTCACGTGGCAGTGATTGCAGAGAGATATACAAGGTCCAACAATTAAGTTATAAGACTGATTTTATTATGGCCAAGACAAAAATTGCCATTTATGAAGCAAAGCATGGAATCTAAAGAGGCAACATTTATCTATGATCTGGCAACTTTTCATCGCCGCTCGATAAACAGGCAACAAACAAGCCGCTATTTTGTTGACCTAGTCAGAGGTGCATTATTACGTAATCAGCAAGGAGCAAAAAGCTAACATTTAATTCTTTTTAAAACTCAGAAAAAGTGCCATTAAAACAGTTGATGAAACAAGTTTATAGGGATAATCTCATGCACAAATTTTCAGGTGGTATTCACGATTCAAAAGTAATGTGAAAATGATTGCTAATGCACCTAGACCTGGATGCCAAATTTCTGTTGGTAATGATGAACACATTGCAAAAGTCAGAGAACGAATATAAGAAGATCTTTGTTTTACTGTTAAGATTATGGCAGATGAATCTGATGTTAATAGAGAGACCACTCATAACATTTTAGTGCAAGATTTTGGCAAGAAGAAAAAAAGTTGCTTCCAGTTTGTACCACATCTGTTGTCTGATGACTAAAGACACCAGCGGGTTAAGTACCCAAGAGACATCATCAAAACAAGAATTTTTGGCCCAAAACAAGTGTGCGTGTTCTCAGCCTTTTGCTCTGCTTCCCAGATTTGTCTCCCTGTGATTATTTTCTATCCCCAAAATTAAAGTTACGATTGAAAAGACGCTTTTTAAACAATATTGATGACCTCCAAAGGGCTGTAACATCATCTTTAAGGGCCTTAACAAGAGAAGAACTACAGAGGTCGTTTAAGTGTTTGTTAGATCCTGCCACTTGCTGTATCAATGCACAAGGGGCTTACTTTGAATAAAATACAGGTTATATCTTCAACTGTTATTTAAATTTTGATGGAATTAGTCTTATTACTTAATTGTCGGACCTTGTATATAAAATAGTCAGAAATGATTATGGTCACTATTTTATCATGCCAAGGAAAAATCACTACAAGAATTGATACAAACTGTTGGTAATATCAAGTTTCATCCATCCTTATTCACTAAACATGTAAAACCACAGCATCTACTAAATGCTGCAGATATTCACTGTGCCCAATAAATACTCATCTGTAGTTGGTTTTTTCCCCCTAATTGTATGCAAGTTCTCCAATAGTGTTCCATCTCATATTTTTGTTCTCAACATTGCATGTTTGCCACAAAGGGTATAACCTGGAGACAACAGAACACATGACAAATTGGTAATACCCTATTTCATTATTGGCTTTTAATGGCAGCTTGTTGTCCCATGATATTTCCTGGTATTCATTTTATGATTTAGTCAATCTGGGAGCCATAAGAAAATCCACTTCCATGTATATTCAAACCCAAGATCTTCAGCCCCAGCAGGCAAGCAACTAGCCCTTGCACAGCCACAGATTCATTCTTGAGGCAAGTGTATCAATATTTACCAATGACTGTGAGATAGCTCATATAAGAAAGAAGTAGTAGTAGTTAGTAGTAGGAGGAATTTAAACAATGATACCCTGTTCAATTGACCTGGGTTATAATTGTACTTCCCCGTGTGGGTATCCAGGGCCCTATTATGGGGGGGGGGGGGGTGGGTATAGACCCACAGCCTACCTAAAAGCATGTCGTAAGAGTCGACTAATTGGGAGCTTCCTTCGAAGTCACATTACTTCAGCCTGAGAGGCAAGGAACCAGCAGTCTGCATACAAATGAGTCAGATCTGTAAAACCGATGCACAACACTCAGGTTCTGGAACAGGACTGCAGTCCAAAAGTGGATGAACAACCAGAACTTTCTGCCAGAGTTTACAGCTGGCGAACGCGAAGAAGAAGAAAACTGTTCTGTTTCAATATTGGATATTTATGCTTACCAGTAACTTCTGGCTATTTAATTATGTATTAATTATAACAGATTGTAGGTGTACAGATTGTTAAGTTTAATATATTTTAAATGTGCTTATTAAATAAATGTTATAACCATACTGTGTAATATTATTACTAAACAGATAAACCTATGTTTTTTTTTTCTGATGTACTGAATCCTTTCCTTTTTTTTCCAGAGCTATCTATCCCCAGAATTGTTTTCTACTCTCATGAGCTTAGTGCAGAGGGTCAGAAATTCCTTAACGGAAGTCATTTGGAGTTCATAGTTCTTGTAATATCTTAAACAGTGCTCAATGTTATTGTTTCTGATCAACCAATCAGGTGCTGTCTCCACAATGAAGGGTGGTTGCAACGGATCTCCAACATGCTCTGCCATTCAGCCGTGATGTTCAATCTTTTAGACTTATGTTTATTTATCACTTGGTTACCTTTCCACTTGTATCGCTGTCTACCTTTTGCCTGCCTGCACTTTCTCCCTCCAGTGTGGTTTTTAAACAGTGTTTTTTTCTTTTGGCCTAAATATTTTACGTGTCTTTTAATTTTCTTCAGCAGTGTCTTTTCATTTCTATTCCCTTAAGAGCCACTATATTTGATAGCTTTTGCTTCCATGAAATATGACAGATTCTTCTGTACATCAATTTCTCTAAACTCAATACGATTTTTGTATTGTTTGTTCAATGCCCCAGGTCTGTATACTGTATAGCATGGCTGTGTGTACATAAAAGTTAGCATACAGAATAGAGCCATAAGGATAATTCTGGGATGTACAAGAGACACCCCGGTAGTATGTATGCGATATATACCTGCACTGCCTACTATTGCAGATAGGCTCAAAGTTCTGCAAGCAAAGTCATATCTTAGAGTAGATGCAGACAAGAAGCACTCCCTGTATAAAGCCTAGGAAGAGCTAAGTGTCACAGACTGAAAAGATGGCCTGGGATGGTGCAAGCTGAAGACACAATTAGACATGTGTGAAGGCTTGATAAATTTGGGCAAGGAGAGGAGTGGGTCAAAGTGTGTGAGCAAGTTCAGACTTGTGTTGGGTTCTTATTCATTTTAGGTCGTCGTGAGTGCAGGGATTGGCCAGCTGGTGTTGCAGAATCAATGTTCAACAAACGATTCATGACAATATCTGCCCAGGTGATGTAATTATCTATACAGATGGCTCTGTACTAAGGGCAGACAAAGTGCACAAGAGTTCATAGCAAAAGCAAATGGACGTCACTTAGTGCAACAAAGCCTGGAATATTATATCACAAGGTCTGGTTTGAGAATGGAGGCAGAGGCAGTCACTGCTATTTTCTGCTGGTTTAAGAATCAGCTGTACACACATGCCATGATTTTAACTGACTCACAGAGCATGCTGAGAAAGGTGGAGACAGGCATGCTCTGTGCATAGTGGCAAGCATCACTTCAATTGTCCCGGGTAGTTGGCAACCTTTGGATATTTTCTACAGGTCATTCCCATGTATTGCGAAATGGGCAGACAGATAAGACTGGCTAGTTCTGCACCACTTAGTGGTGAAATGATGTATGATAAGCTAGATGTTGTGAGGGCCCTCTGGGAGTGAGCAGTGTGGAGGTATACACAGATCATTAGGGTCTGAGGAGAATGGCATTGGGAGGAGTTTAGGGGATCTCATCGATACTCAACACTTAAAGGAAAGGAGAGATGGATTAACAATAGTCAGTTACTGATGCCATCAGAAACTGAAACTCTCTGCTTGCTGCCGAAGATGGGGACGGAGCACTTATGGGAGTGTCCCAAGTGCTAATTGTTGATTCCTAATTCAACATAAAGGTTAGCTGTGCATTATTTACAGGACACTGCAGAATCAAACCTAGCATTTTTTTGGGTGTTATGGTTTTTCTAGACAAATTTACGTTCAGCAGCTTCACATTGCTTTCTCAATGGTCAACTCTGGGTACCACTGTCGAAACTAATGCAAGTCTGTTGACAAATTGCCTCCAGCTGGTATCGAAACTGGCACCACAGCATTACAAAGCGTATTTGCAAAGCCTAAGCCACAGAAAATATATTTTTAGCCATTCCTGTTTTTTTTTTTTCAATCAACTGTTACTAGGCATCCAGGATAGAAGAAACATAATTAATTTCTCAGACTAAATACTTACTCTAAACATTGAAGACATAAAGCTACTGGGGGTATGTATCCTCCTCTATGTGACACAGGTGTGCTTTGTGGTGTTTGGGATGGTGTGCTTGTCTTTGGTACCACACTTTTACTCTGAATACGTCTGGGAGCTTCTGAAAACGCAATCAATATTTCAAATCATAGTTATAAATAAGAAAGTATGTGTTCTTATTCAGTGTTATAATAAAATCAATGTTACACATATGTGTTTACAAATGTTATGCTGGAATATGAACAGTTAACACCAGAAAAGGAATTTAATGGAATCTGACAAAGCATTTTGATAATGTGGACATTACCGACAATGCTCTCCCATCCAACACGTGAAATCAAATTAAAAATAAATTAAACACACTTTATGAAATCACATCAATAAGATCTAAAAATTCATAAGGAAAAGTTAAAGGTCATGAGAATAAATAAAGCTACTGATAACACAGATTTCCTTGCTGAAACGTCAGTTGAAGACCTAACAAAATATCCATATTTATGTAACAAAGCAAATTTGGGATTACAAATACAAAATATAAAATAATAAAAAAATGTTAAAAATGTTCACCAACTGAGTGTGAATATTCTGACGAAGACATTGTGCTTTAAATGACATACACAGAGAAACCCTGCTCATAATAATATAACTAGAACGGATTTCCTGGGGAACCCACAGGGCAATAGAAATAACTAGTACCATCGGAATTTAAACTGCGCTGACTGGATGGGGCTCTTATGGGAACGCCCTGAATGCTGTATGTTTGGTTCTTAACTCAACTCAGGAAAAAAAGAAACAAGAGTAAGACATTTAAAAGATGAAGAAGAAAATTAGAGGAAAAGATGAACAATACAGGAAGCATATGGAGGGAGCAGCAGGAGACAATCAAGATCAGGATGGACTGGTTGAGGATCTATACTCTACTGGACTGCCTCATTCAGCACTAAGCAGATCATCATACATTCTTTAAATACTCTACACATGGTATACATTTTAGAACTTCTTCACACCCATTCTTCCTCCTGTTCTTTTTTCTTCAGCACTCCAAACCCTTGAGATTCATTGCCACAGATATCACTCATCTCCATTCACCTCAGACTGGCCTCCTCTTTCCAGCTGGTGACACCAAGTGTTTATAGATCTGCATGTATATTATTTCTCCACATCTTCTTGGTCTGGCTCATGATATACTTCCATTCTACCTTTTAGTGAATGTAGTTTTTGTGGTACTTTTCAACTTGTTCACCCCATTTTATTGACTGCGAGATTTTATAGAAAATTCCTAGGGATTTCCCCGGAAAGTACTATAGTTTAGGGGGGTTAGCGTTAGTTTCCTCCTCTTCTTCGTTCACCCAAAATATATAATATATATCTGCAATATCGTCTCTAGTATGAGCTTAACTGTATTATGTATGTCACATAGCGACCCGTAAAGTTCGGCTTGAATCGCTGTTTCTCTTGGTGATGAAATGTGATGTGAATTGGTGATCTTTTAAGGTGGGCCCTGAAATGGCTAGCTTTGGGTGTCAGTGGGAGGAGGGGGGGGGGGGGGGGCACCTGGAAAGCCGTGACAGTCTCTATGAATGCATACTCATCAATTCGAGTTAGAGACAGATGCAGAAATACTGACAAAAGGAAAATCACAGCGAAAATGAAGTATAAACACCACTTGCAAACAGTGCAAAAGTAAGACACACCAGAAATAATGACTCAATAAACGAACACGCTGTGAGATGTTATTAAATATCAGGAAGTATGTTGGGCAGAAAGTATGTTGGGCAAAAAGTGTGCTGGATAGGAAGTATGTTGACCAGAAAGTATGTTGGATATGTTGAATAAAGAATCAACATCATAGCACACTGAGCACTCCTATAAGCTCCCCTTTCCTATCTTCAGCAGCAAACGAAGAGTTCAAATTGCGATGGTACCAGCAATTGTCTGATTGTACATCTGGCTCGCCTTTCCCTTGAGTGGTGAGCATCAGCCAGATCCCCTGATAACTCCTCGCAGCGCCATTCTCCTCAGACCATAATGATCTATTTGCGCTTCCACACTGTTCACTGGCTGCCAGAGGGCCTCATAACATTTAGCTTGTCATACATCAATTCACCACCAAATGGTGCACAACCGGCCAGTCTATCTGCTTGCTAATTTTCCAACACAGGGTCATGACCTGATGCTAACTACCTGAAACCTCTGAAGTGATACTTGCCACTCTGCACGGAGCTTACCTGTCTCCACTTTTCTCAACATGCTCTGTGAGTCAGTTACAATCACGGCATGTGTGTGCAGCTGATTCTCAAGCCAGAGGAATGCAGTAGTAACTGCCTCCACCTAGATTCTCAAACTAGACGTAATATAACATGCCTGGCTGTGTTGCACTAAGCGACGTTTATTCCCTTTTGCTATGAACCCCTATGCACTTTGTCTGTCCCTTAACACACAGCCATCTGTACACTTGGGTGGGAATAGTCATAAATCATTTGTTGAACTTCTGACTCTGCAGCGCCAGCTGGTCAGTCCCTGCAGTCAGTCATGACCCAATCGATAAGAACTCTACACAAGTCTGAAACTTGCTCGGACACTTTGACTTGCTCGGACACTTTGACTTGCTCGGACACTTTGACTTGCTCGGACACTTTGACCCACTCCTCACCTCGTACAAATTCATCAAGCCTGCACATAAGTCTGATTGTGTTTCCAGCTTGCACCATCCAAGATTTTCCTCTTTTCAGTCTGTGACCCTTAGTTGTATCAAGGGCTTCATGCAACAGGTGCTTCTTGTCTGCAGCTACTCTGAGATATGACTTTACTTGCAGAACATTGAGCCTGTCTGCAATAGTAGGCAGTGCAAGCATATATTGCATACATAATACTGGAGTATCTCTTCTGCATTCTAGAATTACCCGCATGGCTTCATTCTGTATGCATTTGAGTTTTATCAGCTGGCTCTTTGATATGGAAAGCATTACAAGTTCATAATCTATCACCGACAGAAACATATACTGGAGCATTGTGAATAGCATTATTTGTTCCATGTTCATTGCTGCCATAATGTTGAGAGCATTGAGTCCTTTTTGGCATTTCACAGCAACTGCATCCACATGATCCCTGAATGACAAGCTTCTATCGAAAATTATACACATGTACCTCATTTTGCTTTCTCTGTTGATATTACTGTTACTAAATGTGAGGCTTGGTACATAAGCTTACAGTATGTTGGTAGTAGTATGTTGGATAGAAAGTAATTTGGCCAGAAAGTATGTTTGATAGAAAGTATGTTGGAGAGAAAATGTGGTAGTTGCAACTGCTTATGTCTGAAGGAGTTAAAGGCAGAAAAAGAAAGGCAGGACACAAGCTTGTTCCAAAACAAAATATATCCTAGCAAAAGTCAATAAAAAGAAACACTGACTTGCAGCTACCTAATATCTTAAAAATTTAACTTTAAAAACTGTTTAATTAAACTTACCTATCTGCTTATGTTTTTCATTAAATGCTCTTTCTCTTTCAAGTTCCTCTGAAAATATATAAATAAGTAAAAGTTACAATAGCACAAAAGATTACACACACTGAATGTATTCATAGAATATCTTTTTCTTTGGAATATACAGAAAAATGTTTTTGGTTGCAAAATATACATTATTCACATGTATATACAGTATGGCATTTTTATAAGAGGAAGAAGGGTGCCTGAAAAATGTACATTAGACATACATATATGTGTGGCCTTTCTACAACAGGTTAGGACAAGGTCAGGGCAGATAAGGCACTAAGCCTTGGTTAGCTGCTGGTCAAAGAGGGAAGCACCAACAGGTGGATTGATTCTACAGGATTCTTTGCTCCAAATGTACTGGTGTTATCTTTTCTTTTGAGAAAACAAGGCAGGTCAAGAGAGGGATCATTCTGCGTGGACAACACATGATCTGTGTAATAGTCCTCAGGTTTTGTGCTACGAAGAGAAGGCACTTCAACCCTGGCCTGCATCCTCATGAGCTGTAATTCCCATGCCTCCTTACAGCACAATGGGAAAGGTGCCAACAATTTGGATTCCAAGGACCTGAAAATCGAGTATGTGTTTTTTAAAAAGTGTGCTAGCCAGGGTAATACATTCCTGCTGGAACCAAAAAGTTAACTGAGTTGTTTTTTTTTAAGCGCGTTCCTGTTAACAAGGTTTTCATTGACATAACAAGGAGAGATCATTCCTTTTGCTATAATCTTTTGTATTCTATTTGTTTTTTTAAATCTTATGAATAATAAAGCAAAACTGTATATGTATCCACACACATCTAGGTCCGCTGTCCATTCGACTCTACATTGGGACAATACATGCGATCTTTTCCAATTTGCCAAAACAGTATCCACCTTTATTTGTCTCGACATAGGAAGTATGAATGCATTTTCCTAATTTTGAGACATCAAGTTTAATTCAGCTGCAGCAATTGGCAGCAGACCAATTTGCCCTGATTTTGACAATGGTATGAGTATCGACCTTTCAGTGGCAGTGGCAAATTACTGAATGTAAGATTGCCTTAAAAAAAGGACAAACTGTTAATAAATGCTACAGTTGGTTTTGTGTCATCCTGTACTGGATTTGCAACTAACTTTAAATACCTTCACTGATTTTCACTGATGTTTATAATAATAAAATGTCTCCATTTAGTGACTGCAAAACAAAAAGCCCAGAAGGTATCCCATTAGTCTGTAGCAAAACTTCTTCAAAGGTTTGGTTTGGTACTGCTATCAGCGATCATGTCCTAATTCTGTCATTTAATATTTTCATGAAATTGCTGCTTTCATTTTTTGCTGCCAAGCAGTATAAGCTTTCCATATACTCTGACCTGGTGTCTAAATTATGCAAGACCATGGTTCAAAAACATACACCTTTAAATACCATAGGACAGATATACTCATCAGGCACATTAGATAGGCATCACTGTAAAGGGTCACCGGAGGAAGTTTATATCATCATGATGGTGGAGTGTTTTTCCCATGCCTTCACTGAGCTTTCTAATAGGATTAACAAATTGACACATACTGATAAATCAATATGTCATTTTTAACAGACAATGAAATGCATAGCATATCCTGCTGTATGCTATAGAAAGATTTTTAGAATATCATGGATAAGGAAGAGGAAAAACATTGACATTCTGAACGAGTTGAACATCAATGAGAACTGACTCACAAACAGCATCCTGTCCCGAAAGTTGAAGTATTCTGGCCACATCAAGCGCCATGGTGGCTTGGAAAAGACAGTGATGGAAGGTGCAGTTTGTGGAAGGCGAGGCAGGGGTCAACGACAGCCAAGATGGATACAAGACATTGAAGATGCATTGGCATTGAAAGCACATGGAGCTGGAGAGCTGGCTAGGGAAAGAGATACTTTCAGGCGTGCCGTGTAGAGAGCGACGTTCTGTAAAGGACTTGCTGATTGATGATCCTCTGTATCTCCATCAGGTGCATACTACATTAACTGAATAAAATGAAACAAATAAATGAATTCTTCACAACTGAAATATAAAATCTATGTTTGTGCCTTCTTTATTCAAATTTACAATGGACAAACACTGCTTTGATTTTCTGAAACATGTCAATTTTTGAAAGGTTTTGGGGCTCTATAGTGATTTATGTGAACTATCTAGTGATATATTCATTTAGTTCTTAACAACATGAAACATTATAATTTGAGGGATGAGATGTATAAGAAATACAGCAGGGGGAGGGGCGGGGGGCGAAAAGACAGAATCACCAATGAAGAATGAAGAAAAATGGTAGGTACACTTTAAGTAAATCATTTCACAGAGCATCACAGAATTTGGTCATCTGTTCAGACTTGAACACAATCAACCAGCAACTAGAGCATAATACATCAGAACAGCAGGCTACAAAAGAAGAGGCCAGCCATGACAGAAATGGGTGGAGGTAGTGAAAGAGACACTAAAGAAATTCAATATGACATTACCACAAGCTAAACAACAAGCAAAAGACAGGAAACTACGCCTAACTATTCTCTGCAAACACTTTACGGCATAAACAGTAGGACAATGGGGGAAAAAAAAGAAGCTGTCAACAAAAAACTTTGTAAAACAACTCAAGTTTGCTACTCACCTTTTTCTACATGTGGAAGAAGCGCATAAACTATATCTTGTAATAAGCCATCAAGCCTGAAAGGGAAGGTCAGTAATCAGTTACACAGCTTCTCTGCCAGCGGAACAAAAATACTGAACCACCTCATGTAAAGCCATTTGTAGACATTTTTATGGCTGGTTGGATTTTGCAGCCAGTATTTTTTAAGTGATTAAGCAGCTAGTTAATGCTAACTGTCTATATATGATTCTTATGACATGTGCAGTATGTTATCATTTTACTTTTATTTGATTCACTTATGGGTCCTGTAATCACAATACCAACTCACAAATTCAACACTTTCATGACCTATTTCTTCAACTGTCTTTTTAACCTTCATAAAAAACTACAGCCATGCAGTAGAAGTAAATCAAGAAAGCACAATAGATATAGATTCCAGTGGAAAAGAAGGGAAAGTGGAGGATATTCCTTCTGAAACATTCTGGAGAAAAATGTGAAATATTTTGTATGTAACAGGAAAACACGAAATTGAATACAGGGAAAAAAATAAGATGGACAGCATTTCAAATGACCAACAGATTAAAATATTATTAGATAAAGTGTTCCCCACAAGATTAAAAGGGAGCAAATTTTGTATTAAAAGAAGCACACAACAGTTAACTGAAATCCAATATATATATATATGTGTATATTAAAAACAATTAAATGAGAAAATACAAACTGTTCATCTATAATGGAACAGTCAACAATATCAATGTAAACTTTCACAAGACATCAGAAAATCAATCATACAAACAGCATAAAAACAAGTAATTAAAGTCTGGATTATTAATAAATTTTTATTATGTCAATTTATATAATTTATGAAAAACCATTTTTTTATAAATGCCCACACATACACACAAAAAGTCAGGAAAAAATAAACATACATTACATAAAACTGTATTTTAAGAAAGAAAATGTTATGTCAAACCTGCTCTGCTATATGACAGCGAATCTTCAAATGTGAATAAACAAATTAAAAAGAGCTTGGAGGTAGCGTAGATGTGGGTTTTTAAGATGCATGCTGCAAATAACTTGAACAGCTAACGGTGCAAGGAAAAAGCTAATGAACAAGGAACATGTGCAACTACAGAAACGAGTTTTCTCTGATCATTTCCTGACAATGAGAGGCACAAAAGAATACTGTTTCTATTGAAAAGAGAATGAAGTAGAATGAGAGCAATGATGCTTAGTTGATGATGGTTGGTTAAAGATAAAAAGTCGAGAGGATCTCTTGCTTGCACCGGGTTTTATCCTATATGGCTCTTTCTCTCTGCAGAACGGCCAGCCGTCTGCTGAGAGCACCGCTCAAAGCATTATTTCTGTAGCTTCAGCAACGATGGTTAGTCAAAAATAATGACATGAAGGGCTACAATCAACAGAACTGATCCAGAAGGCTAGGGCTAAGATTTGTGGAAAGACATGAACAGCTATGCCATCTAACAACAACAAAAATAATGATAAAAACAGCACACCTGGGGAAAAAAACTGAAATAATGGAAATCCCCATTGAAAACTATGAGAAGAACATTTCAAATCATACATGCTTGACACTGCAGATAATTGTCTTCTTTAAATGCAGTCCCTAAGAGGCTGGCTATGCTTACCTTATGTGAACAAAAGGGTCAGTTGGATGGATAAGAATAGCACACATAGGACAATTCAGACTTCTTTCCAGGTGCTTGACAATGCAATTTTTGCAAACTGAAAGTGATTGGAAACAATATAAAGTGATCAACTTTACATATAAAGCTTCAAGAATTTAACTGTAGTCAATGGAATTTTTTTTTTAATTCTTGGATGTCACAAATAATTAGTTTTACCACATAACTGTAAATTCTAGGCAATCTGTAAGCAAGCTAAAATATTCAGGGGAAATTCACAGATCACAGGACAGACTAATATTTCATGGGGTGGTAGATAGGCTGCATGGAGTCGTGAGACCTAGGCTGCACTTTCTTGTGGAACATAGGTGGGTTAGGGTTAGGGCCAGTTCTAGATGTTTTGGGGTCGTTAACAGCATCAGAAAGCCAGGAAACCCAGTCTTACCACATTCTAAAATGCTGAACAATCCTGTGACATCATCTGGGGTAGGATATTACAAAGGGATTAAATATCCTTCCTGGACTTAGATATGTGTTTTACAGAAAAATATTAAAATTCCTTAAAACATTCAAAATCTTCAACAGATGTGTTTTGGAAGAGAGGCTAGCACTCGAAGAAAACTTACCAAAAACATTAAAATAAAACTGTCATCATTTTTTGCCCCATTATGATGAAAGAAAAACGAGAAAATGAGATAATTGAAACAATTTATGGAAAGAGTTATAGAAGAAGATAAAAGAGATTGTTGAGACCCTTTTAGAATGGCATGGAAAGAATCATTACATGCACTGATATATGCGGTCGGAGACAGCAACATATGCAGAAGCAAGATCACAGACATAAACCAACAAGATGCATCAAGATCAGTTACTCTTTTTAATATCTATACACACATTGAAATTCCAGATTTACAAATGTTACAAAAAATAATCCTTTTTTTTCTGTGAATAATAAAAAAATTTTTTTTTTTTTTTTTTTTTTTTTTTAACAAATTTTACATTTTATTGCAATTTATATTCTTATTTTTTTAAATTAAAAATAAAAATTTTTCAGTGAATTAAAAAAAAATGCTTTTAATCTCTTCAACTCATGAGAATACTGTTGCTTGGTTTATATATATATATATATATATATATATATATATATATATATATATATATATATATATATATATATATATATATATATATGTGTGTGTGTCTGTGTGTGTGTGAGTGTGTGTGTGCGCGCGCGCGCGCACACACATATATTATTAATAGGGATAGATGTTTTTACAGTGGAATCCAAAATCGTATAAGTCACCTCTTACAATAAGCATGGTGGATTAGAGTGTATACTTCTTTGGTTCCCTTATATAGCCCATTGTAACAAATAAATATAAACAAAACTATATTAACTGAATGTTAATTAGATACCCAAATGTCTCTCTTTCAGAAAAAAAAAGCCAATGATTTAACCTTCATCCCTACTTTATGCTATCAGTGTCAAAGACATACAATGAATAGGGCACTACTAGAACAGAAAATAACTACCAGTGAGAAACGCTGCCTCCGTAAGGTCACTAACAATACAAGAAGGGACCTGGTAATGAATACCAGCATTGGAGAGAAAGTTTGAATAAGACCGTGCTGAATTATATTGATATGCAAAGAATGAAATGATATGGTCATCTAGTGAGAATGCAGCCAGACCAAACTGTTTATGAGATCTTTTACAGTGGAACATCTGGAAGAAAGGTGAGTGGAAGACCAAGAATCTACAAAAAGATAAATCTATCACCTAAGCCACTCAAGAAGTGCAAACAAATACAGAAAACCACAACACTGGGCTGCAAGCTGGTATCAGTGAGATGACAAAAGAAGTAGAAGAATAACCGAATGTCAGACAAAGAGTACTTAAATTTCATGTAAAAACTTTTCTGCTATATTGGGTGAAACCTGGAATTTGAATCTTATGCGCCCAAGTAACACATAAACAGGACCAATAACTTGAAACTATTAACTTTTAAAGATTGATACTAAATGAAAACTCAGAGAAAGAAAGATGGAACATTTCCTAATCACACACATTGAAGCCTACATGACCTTTCTTTTTTTCTTCTTCTGCCATCTGTCCCCCAATGGGGCAAAGGCCCTCAACCAACTCACGCCAGGTCATTCTATCTTTCGCTATTGCTTGCAGCTCACCCCATGTCCCCATTTTTTTTAACTTCACACTCTAGCTCCCTTTTCTGTGTGTTTTTTAATCTTCCTTTCTATGCCTCTATTGTTCTCTGCATTATTTCTTCACCTCTTGGTCAACTGGAACTTGTTTAGTTCTCTCCTAAAGCTCTACATTAGTGATTCTCTCATACCATTTAATTCCCTTTATTCTATGCAAGCATCAGTTAATGAAAGCTTAAATATTTTGTTTAATTGCCCTAGTTGCTCTTCATGTTTCCGCTTCATACAACAGTACTGATTTGACCTCATGACCAATAAGAGTTAAGATGTCATCTTGGGTTTCCTTTCATACCAGTTTTCTGTTCCATATTGTAATTTTTTCGGAGATCTCCGGAGAGGGGGGGGGGGGGGGGGGATCCTTAGAAGTATGAAGCTTGTGCTTTATATGAAGATCTGTTTAGGTTGTTTCTCTAATCTATAAGAACACCTTTCAATTTTTCAACCATTGTGTTGAAGCACAATAACAGGCAATGAAATGTGGAACAGACATTCAAGAGAAACTTTGAGATGAATGTTGATGACAAACTAAAGGTGCAGGACTGGATCACATCCACAGTATTGGAATTATTGAACATTGACATAATAAAATGAAGTTATAGACTACAATTCTCATGTTTCTTATGGGGAGCTAGCGGGTGTAGCGACTAGACGCTCGCCGGCAGATCCCAACGCCGTGGGTTCAAATCTGAAAGGGGTCTGACTTTTTTCAAAAATGACATTGGCTCCCAGGTTGACCCAGCCTTAAATGAGAGCCAGGATGAGTCATGGGAGGTAAAGGTGGCTGACGTGATGCTGACCACATCAATACTAAGTGCCGATAGGCCTACAAAATATAGGTCTAGCCCAATATGACTGTAGGCTTGGAAAGGGGTCCTTTTACTTGACTTAACTGTCATATAAATAGCATAACAAGTTGATGATGATGAGGCGTATAAGATAAAGCATCGAATGTCAGTGATGAATGACCTGTCAAGTACAGACTGACAGACTTACATGAATGCATGCACTCCGTAATTGTACATGCTTCATACAGGTAGCCCTGACATAAACCACATATTAAGTGAGGGTTCAGTGGGTTTAAAGGTATCCGCAGCATATTGTGTTCATCAATACGTTTAGAAAACAAAACCTTCTTGGCATCCAAAACAGCTGAAGTGTTTAATTCCATTTTAGAAGATCCTGAAATCAGAAAATAAGATTATCTAAACTGTGTGCTTTTCAGATCCCATAGTTTTCTTCATATTAGAAAAACAGTTAAAATAATAGGTAAATGTATATGGACTTAAGAGTTCTGCTCTTTTCATACATACACTGCTCATTCTTGTTTTCATGTTTTAGATGTTTAGGTCAGGTGGAAAGTTAACCTTCTGTCGTTGTTAGAAGAAGTTAACATAATATGTCAGTGTCAGAAGAAGTTAATACACTAAATGTCAATGACAGATGAAGTTAACATAATTGCTGTTAGACAATAAATGTTGAATGAAGAATTGACATCCCAGCACTTGGGAGACTTAAATAAGTGCTCTGTCCCTATCTTCAGCAGCAAGCAAAGAGTTCCAATTCCAATGGTACCAGTAACTGTTTGTACACACGTCTCCCTCTTCCCTTGGATGTTGAGCGTCAGCCAGATCTCCAGGTAACTTCCCGCAGTGCCATTCTTCTCAGACCATAATAATCTATTTGTGCATCCACACTGTTCACTCGCTCCCAAAGGGCCCTTACAATATCTAGCTTGTCATACATCAAGTCACCATCAAGTGGTGCAGAACCGGCCAGTCTATCTGTCTGCTCATTTCCCAACACATCGGCATTACCTGGAGAAAATATCCAAAGGATGCTAACTACCCAGGACTTCTGAAGGATGCTTGCCACTCTACTGTCAGACAGAAGACTGATATCAGTGACAGACGAAGTCAGCTTAAAACTATCAAAGAAAGAAGACCATAACAACTGTCAGACAACAGATGAGGTTAACATAACAATTATTAGCAACAGATAAAGTTAACATAACAATTACTAGCAACAGATAGAGTAAACATAACAACTGTCAGGGCAGAAGAGGTTAATTGATACTTTGCAACATAAAAAGTTACATAATATATTGGTAAAGAAAAGTTAACACAACAGTTAACATAACTGCATAAATAAAAATATAAACAAGTCTTTACAGACAATTTTAAACAAAATACATTCCACTGGCTAGATATCAATGTGACTTCTACTGGGAACACATCAGTTGAGTGACTTTGTGTACTTTTGTTGATTTATATAATGTGCTGATGAGGGCTCTCTAGCCACAAAGTTCACTTGTGATTATGTGAAGCTTACTGGTTCTAATTTTCATTTGCTTGATATCTTCTCATGATAAATAATATACAGAAGCCAATATAATAACTTATGGAAAGAGGAGCGTTTGTGACAACTATGAGTTAAAGCCATAGCTAAGTGACAAAGACAGAGAGAGGTGGGGGTAAATATATATACATATATATACACACATACAGAGAGAGAGAGTAATATTAATAAATGCGCTTTCTGAGCATGAAAGAGATGTAAAAATCTGAAAAAGAGTGAGTTAAGTAACTACTGATTTCAAGAGGAGTTAAATAATAAGTGTCTAAGAAAAATCTGTTTAGATAGACATCAACAAGAATACAGTGAGTTAAAGTAACATACTACAACTTTGATTATAGATTATAAGGAGTTAGAATAATGTGTTTCTAAGAAAGGGGTTTAGAAACCAAATGGAACACACCTTCACTACAAGTTAAAGTAACATGAGTTAAAATAATGGGTGTTTGTGTTGGGAATGATAGGAGTCATAGTGGGATAGACAATTGTAGGAGAAAGAACAAAAATGATAACTAGATCTTTACAATCTAGTACGACAGGCTTGGCTAACACGATACTAATACAAGCCTTTTGGAAATGAATGAGTTGTATCTGAAAAATGCCAATAACGCTTTTCATTAAGATACGTGCTATATATTCACAAATTCACATACAATAGATAATACAGATCAACTGGTCATTCTTAGTTTCTTTTACTGCTAGGGAAAAAGAAAAGTGTCAAGTCGCAATTTGTTTTTTTAAAAAATGTAATTATTATTATTATTACAATTTATGTTTTTATTAGTAACGTCGTATTTTTTATATTAATAATATTATTATACAAAGCAAATTTTACAAGTCAATATTTACTAGAGAGGATGAACAATGCAGGAGAGTGGTTTAGTAAAGCTTTATAAAAAGAATAATAAAGACAGTCCTAATAATATTACTATTATTACATTCTAGAGAATTTCTTTCATGACTGACGTTATTATTCTATTGCTTCTATAGCGTTACACTGACCTTGAGAGGCGGTAGCGGTAGGTAGGTTTATTTATGGACGGACAGCCAATAAGTGTGAGTAATTAAGTCACGAAGATACTTGTTCCATTGCACCCTTATTATAAGATTCGACTTAACAATAATGTAGTAACTATTTACCTTGAACACCACGTCTAAAAAAAAAGGTCAGACTTGCCTGAATCGCAGGTCACGTTAGGCGTTATAATCCAGACCGGTATCAAGACTTAATAACAAAAGTTAAAGATCCCGAAAAGGTAACCAGGTTTTTGGTCGCTGACATGAAGATTCGTCTGCCGAAACTAGCTTTTGTTTGTTGACAATGACCGATGTGAATAAACTCTGTATCGTTATAACTTTATTTTTTTTTTATTATTATGAACTAAATAAAAATATTGTAAGATTTTAGCATTCATCTATTTTTACAGTTATCACTGTGTTAGTATATTGATAAATGTATACCTGGAAAAATAAAATTATCATTGGCTTTCCACTCACACGCCATGTGCTCGGGACGACATGAATGAATTGGTCCGGGGGTGTTTACATTATGTTGCTGGGCCGAAGAATACTTGGAATTAGGATAATTTATTAGATACAAGACTCCTTGTGTCATTTTTTTATTCCCACATTTATTAGCTGTTATTTAGGAGGGGGAATTATTCTTACGATTTTCGAATGTATTCTCAGCAATAATTTGGTTTCTGTTTAAAGCATTCACTGACTCATATTAGGAAACTATACATAGTATGTCTGTTTATTATAGATATAATGTTTCTACAGCCTCAAGGAATCCCCCTCTGTTTATTTATGTATATTACGCATCACACAATAGGAACTACCAGTCAAACCTATTTCTAGTGTACTAGAACACATGACCAACTAGGCACCACTAAAAAGTGTCTTCATTGGCCTATTTCTAAAGTGTTCGTAATATTCTTGAAAAGCATTACGGTATGCTATGTTTGTAAATTGTTGCTGTGTTTGTTCGACCTATGCTCGGTTAATATAAATTTATGTTACCTATCATCAGTTCTCGTTATGCCTAGTGGCACATGCGGCTTCAGAGAGGACTTTCCATGCTTTCCTGTCTTGTGCAATCGTCAGTGCAGTTTTCCATGTCAAAGATGCCGCACTCGGGTCACTTTCCATCGTTCGTCTCCATGTTGTTTTTGGGCGCCCCTGTTTTCTCTTTCCCTCTGGTGTCCATGTGAGAGCTGTTTTGGCAGGTATATCAGAAGTCATTCTCATAACGTGGCCAAGCCATTTCCATCTTCTCTTGGTAATCATACTGTCTAAAGTTTCTTAGTTTGTGGCTTGAAGTAGTTTAGTGTTTGAGATTGTATCTGGCCAGAAAATTTTGATAATTCTACGTAGACATGTATGGTGGAAGGTGGACAGCTTGTGCGCATCCTTTTTGGTCATTCTCCAGCATTCCGCTCCATAAAGAAGAACTGGCAAAATGATGCTCTTGTAGAGTCGGAGTTTCGTTCCTTTGCAGTAATTGTTGGATGGAAGGTGGACAGCTTGTGTGCATCCTTTTTGGTCATTCTCCAGAATTCCGCTCCATAAAGAAGAACTGGCAAAATGATGCTCTTGTAGAGTCGGAGTTTCGTCCTCTGCAGTAATTGTTGGATTTCCAGATTTGCCTCATCCTTCCAAAAGCAGCTCCAGCTTTGTTCAGACGTGACTGTATGTCCTCTTCGGTTCCTTCCGTTAGGGGCACCACACTGCCAAGATATGTGAAATGTTCTACATTTTCAAGAGTTTGGTTATTTATGGTCACTGGTTGTTGGTTTTGACTGCTTGTAATGATCTTAGTTTTCTTTGTATTTATTCTCAGTCCCACCATTTCTGCTGTGCTGTGTAGTCTGTTAATTTTTTCTTGTTTATGTGATAGGAGTGCTAAATCATCTGCAAAATCAAGGTCCACAAGTTTGGTGAATGGAGTCCATCGTATGCCTCGTAATGTTCTGTCTATTGTGTTCTTTAGTATCCAATCAATCACAAGGTTGAAGAGGAGAGATGACATAACACATCCCTGTCTTACACCTGTCTTTACTGGGAAAGATGTATTGTAATTTTTTTATACTGCAGGAAAAGTCTTTATAGAAGAGAGCAATTATGTTGACTATTTTTTCTGGAATTCCATAATGTCGTAAAATTTTCCATAGACCGTCTCTATGGACGCTGTCAAAAGCTTTCTCAAAGTCCACAAAACTAATATATATATATACGGTCAACTATGTTTGTAAATTGTTGCTGTGTTTATTGTTCAACCTATGCTTGGTTAATAGAAATTTATGTTACCTATGGTGCCAATTTAATGGTTTGAGATGAATTCCATAGTTATGGATTTCAGGTTGTACAATAGACATGACCAATGAAGACACTTTTTAAGGGTGCCTTGTTGGTCATTACACGGACTCCATAGCGAGCCGCACACGCCATTTAGAGGTGACAGGCACGATTATCGGTACGGTAACTATAGCTTTAGATTTTTCTGTTGTCTTATGTGTCCTTCTGTCTGTCTACTTCTTTCGATGAGTGCTAATCAATACATTTTCTGTTTTGTATATATATATATATATATATATATATATATATATATATATATATATATATATATATATATATATAAAAATATATATACAATTACATATATATATATATGTATATATATATATATATATATAAATATATATATATATATATATATATATATATATATATATATGTATGTATGTATATGTATATATATATATATATATATATATATATATATATATATATATATATATATATATATATATATAC